AACAGTATTCCTTGATGGCTGTGGTCTCTTTCAGCACAATAATGCACTTTGCCACAAAGGAAAAGTGGTTCAGGTTGAGGATTGGTTTGAGGATAACAACAATGAGTTTGAGGTGTTGCCAGTGAAGCTTCACCTGGCAACCTATAGGATTAAAGGATCTGTTGCTAACATCTTGGTACATACCACATACCACAGCATGGGTCAGGGGTCTAATAGAGTCCATGTCTTGATGGGTCAGGTCTGTTTTGAAAGCAAAAGGGGAACCAATACAATATTAGGCTGCTGGTCATAATTTTATTGCTGACTGGTGTAATCCTGCAGCCTGAGAGAGAAGTGCTCTATTAGCTTAAAATGGTACTATGATGTCTTTAAGACATGATGTGGCCTGATTTTTAAGATGGATTTCAAAACATATGATCTCTCTTTCTTGTCCCCGTTAGTAGCCTCATTGCAGCCTTTTAGATTAAATGGTGGCCTTTTAGAACAACCTGACAATAATGAATTTCAATCATCCAGGTGAGAAGTAATGAATGTGTGAAGTGGTTTTTCAGCATCACTCGGAGGCAGGGGAGGAAAAAGTATCCCTACATATTTATTTAGTGTAGGCACTGAAATCTTGATCAACTCTGTTAGTGCTGTTTTATTTATAATAACACCAGACAGTGATGAGGGTGAAATGGGTAAAAGCCAAATTTTCTATACCATGGTATAAGAATATAGCATAATTTAACAGTGCTAGTTAAATGTTTTGTATTTAAATGCTAAGATGCTATTTAAACTGGGAAAAATACTTCATTTCATTCAACCAGTTGGAATCACCATTAGTAACATTGTATGGAGAGATTAAAAATTTGAGGTAGATTTTTTTGAACACAGCAAAAACAAAAAAAATTTTTGCAAAAAATATATGGACCTGTATATTTTGGCAGTTTATTTAATAATGTCTTTATTGGCAGAAGAAGGCGTTAGACATTGAATATTGTGACCTTTCTCCATTAGACATACTATACTTCTCCCGTTACTGTTATGTGCATTACATTTCATTATTTTTATTGACTCCATACAAGTATATCAACATTCAGATCTGCTTAAGTGTCACCAATGACGACAACATACTGTAGGTAATGACATCCCGCTGAAAACACTGAAGCAAGTCAGAACTTTAACAAGAACTCAAGTGCGAAACTTGCTGCTTCACTTCTCTTTTTAATATAAACACAGTAAAGAAGCATTTGCATTTATATAGTTCTTCCAAACCATCTGATGTTGCTGCCAGGCAGTATCCAGAAACAGCTGAGCATCAAACTGATTGTTACCTGGGGAATATTAAGATAAGAGAGTAATCCTATGGACAAAACATGGTTTTGTTGGAGTTTCAGCAGTGGAGCCAGCCAGGTAGGAAAAATTAACAAACCCCTGCCTGTTGCCAGTAATGAAAATGCCTAGCCTCTGTGAAGTCTTATGTTTTAATGTGATAAGAATGGTATCTCACTCATCCCCCAACTGGAACAGAGCATATCTTGATCTTTTGAGACTGGTGCTTATTTTGCATATATGGGACAGGTAATAACTGGATGATACAACTCAGAATACGAATTTAAAAATTCATTCAAACCTAGTTGATATGCAGTACACTGAATTCACTGGAAGCTGCAATATATCAGGATTTCACTAATATCCTCACAAGGATGTTGACAGTACCAGAATTCATGATTCTGTGGCATTGCACATATTTGAATGTCCTTGTTCATTCCCATCTTACACCAGTTGTTTCCTAAAATATTTCATAGTGGCTATGCAATAGCTTTGTTTCACTACATTTGCAGAGGAGAGGGTGATGCCTCATATGATAGGTGTAGTTTTGCATGCAAGCTGGCAGGAGTACCATAGGTGACAGTGATAGAATAGTGATCCGAGCCATCTGATTTAATGGCTGGGTGGCTTTAATGGTAATCTGGCCTCTCCCTCCTGCTTCTCCCCTTAGGAGTTCTATTGGATGACAGGAAACAAACAGTGCTCTGACACTTCCCGCTCATTAGCATCATTAGCATACGGTCATTATGTAGCTGGACAGTAGCATGACAGGGCTCTCAGAAAGGCTACAGTGGTGACCTTTAGTGGACAACACCAGCTGTCAGTAATTACCTAAAGCATTCTCCAGAGGGATGGAGACAAAGACTGACTCCTTGTTCATGAGGACCTGTGGTGCCTAGGAATCTCTTTTTATCTTCCATTTGCCTGGAAGTGAATATATTTTTAGACAGAGAAAAAAATGTACTCACATCCTAGAGACAAGTATGCAGCTGTTTCCTAACCTAAAAATTAGGAAGCCTAAAGTTGTGTAGGCTTTAGGTGGAGTTTTAACTAAAATGTGCTACTAAATGTGGAGCTACGTCTGCGTTTGTGCTGCCAGAGGCTTGTTTGTGCACACTGTTGACAAGTATACTACACCCAGTGGAAAATAATGACTTAAACACCATTGCTCCACAAATTCCAAATTTAACATTTCATGTGGAAATGACTTTATTCTTTGTATTCTCTGTCTAAGTGCCTCATAATCATATGTAATTGTTTGTTGTAGATTACTTTAGCTTCTAACAGGCTTTGATGATACAATGTTGATTCTACAGCTTCATGTTCCCTTTCATCTGTGTGTGCAACCTCTGTATGAATAACAACTTTGAGCCTTGGTGTTGTGAAAAGATAATTTGAAACATCAAAAAATTTGTTTGGAAAATTATGGGCATGGAGGTGAAACAGCTAGTGGGTGCTGTAATATCTGAATGCATTAACTCAACTCTTCCAAAAATAATCGCAGACAAGTATGCATGAACACAGACACAGGTGTTTGCAGGTACTCACACACACATGCTTTTAAGTCTCCCACACTGATGAATTGCTGTGCTCACAACCTTAACTACATTAACGGCGGTGCAGTCTGGTGCACTGTCAAATCACAGCAAGAAAGTTCTGGGCTCAAATCCAGCTGGGGCCTTTCGTTGTGGAATTTGCATGTTCCCCCTGTGCCTCCGTGGGCTTCCCTCCACATTCCCTGGCTTCTCAGCACAATCCAATGACGTACACGCTCTAAACTGGCTATAGGTATGAATGTTTAGTTTTTTTGTCTGAGTTAGCCCTTCAAACACTCTGTTGCACCTGGCACCCCCAGCACCCTGTTACACCAAATTGGATAGAAGCTCAGGCATTGACAGTTGGGAACACAGTTAAGGTTTCCCATCCATTTTCTTAACTGCTTCAGCATCAGCCACACAGACTGGTTGATAACATCTGGTTGCTAGAGAAAAGTGTGTATTCCCCATCTGGTTGGTGAGTGGTTGCTGGCAGTCACAAAAAGGCTACTTCATTAAAAGCCTGCTTGTGATTTCTTTGATTGCTAGCAAATTCAAATGGTTTCCCATAGTTTTCACAAAAGATAACTGGCATGTCTACAAACACTCACTACCTACTTACTAAGTGGTACTCAAACTTGAAAAAGTGCAATGTAAACCAGCCTCAGATGTCTATAGGCTTTTGTGACTAGGACCCAAGTGGTTAAGAAAATGGTAGGATAACCTTAAATATGTTCCTAACTTTTTCATAACAAGGTCCTTAAAAAATCAAACAAGCTACTATACCCCCAGTGTTACTGGAATTAGAAATAACTCCAGTGTAGAGGTAGTAATTCAGTAGTTAGTTCTAAAAATGTAACAAAACATGGAGCGCAACTTAGGCTTTATTACATCCACGAAATAGTGGCAATAAAATACAATGTTGACTCATCAAAGTGGAATTTTCTTCACATTTCCTCTCAACGTATTACCCTAGGCATCAACATAGAAAAAAAAGTCATATTGTGAGAAATGAAGAAGCTGAAACAAGATTGCAAGACTGCAAAAACCAGATACTATGTGTGTGAAGAGCTACAATGAAATTGCTCCACTGCTCTTTCTGTGCGACACATCGTATAATATCATTAAAGTGCAATTTAGACATTAAATTGCAGTTGCCTTCTCCCACTTTTAGAGCCCCCAGTATTATTTCAATCAATCAATCAATCAATCAATCAATCAATCAATCAATCAAGGCTGTATTCGCCACGTGCAGGTTGCCCTGCAGTGAAATGGGACCCCCCCCGACCTTACACACACAACACAGACATCACATGGGGATACAGGTCGGAGATCAGTAGCGTTACAGAAAAAACACTGAAATATACACTACAATGGGAAAGTACAAGAGGAAAAAAAAGAGACCTCTACTCATGCTGGGCTCCTGGAAAAAAAAATCATTAAACCCCCAGTTTAAAACCAAGCAAACAGCTCTGATTACAATATCATCAATATTGTTGTTGTGGTTGCAGTTGTGTGTCCTAAGCTCCACATGACTATTTCATCAATTAGCATGTATATTGGTAGCTCAAATGCAAATAGAAAAAAGCCCTTGAAGGTGTGTAGTTTTCAGAAGAGTTTGCCAGCAGGCACACTCAGGGTATACATTAATCAAAAGACACCCAAACACACATAAACTAAGCCTACTTACATTGTTATTTTTAATTTTAGAAAATATTTATGTGTTACATTTTGTGGTACTGTTGGCATATTTGAGACCTGAAGACAAAGATGATTATAAGAATACTGACATACCTCTGAATGTATATTCCTAATGATAAATAAAAAATATATTTATTATTCCTCATTCCTTAATGAATGTTTGGTGTTGTCTTTTGAGAGCATAGATTGCTGTCAGATTGCTTTGTCTGTCAGTTCTAAATTTTGTATTTTTTACTGTGGTTCTACAACATACTGGCCAAAATAATAACAAACCCCTTACATTAATTATCATTTCAGTCTGTTAATTTTGTCCTCACAAAGACAGAACAGGCAGCAGTTTCATAAAAAAACACTGACATCCTTGAGTCAGGCTCAAATTTGCATTTTTGGATTGTAGTATAACCTTAAAAGTTTGATTTCTTTCCTTTAACTGCTTTTTCTTTTCAAAAGGAACGTCTGTCATGAAGGTTACTGCATCTGATGCTGATGACCCAACATATGGCAGCAGTGCCAGAGTGGTGTACAGTGTACTGGATGGAGAAAAGTTTTTCACTGTTGATAAAAACAAAGGTAAGAGGACACATACAACACTCAATTAACCTTAATTTTTTCCCTTTCTTTCTTTTTTTTCTTTCTCCATTTTCTTTCATCAATATTTTAGGAAATCTGAAGAGACCATAATCAATTAAAATATGTCAAAACACACACTTGTACGTGTATGTATGTATGTGTATATATATATATATATATATATACATACATACATACAAGTGTGTGTGTATAGGATATAGATTTAAGTAAGAGGAGGATCTTACTGGTGTAGAGCCTATAGAAACAGTATGGCCTACCCCACAATCTTTCAGGACTGCAGGAAAAAGCCTGTTGGGAGGGATTTCCTCTCCAGGGAAAAGCACTAAGGTTTTAATGATTCCTTTTTGGTCTCCACCAATTTGATTCGGTCAGCCCAGGCACCTGGATGATAAATGGCTCTGCCTTGGTGGGACTAGTCAGGAGACTAGGTGGTTCATTCCAGCTTCTGCCTCATGACCTCTATTCCACCTACCTCTCTCCCTATCTTGTAGACAAACAGGCTAACCTAATAGGTGTGAGTCAAGAAGGTCAAAATAAAGAGGAGACAAAACAGCTGTGAAATCTACCTCATTAATATCACTCTCACTCACCTTGACAACAAACTCAATAACAAGTCACTGTTTTTTTTCTGTTGCTTTGGCAAAGCTGAAATTGCCTGAAGATGTTTTTTGATTATCCAAGGACTATCCTTTTAGCTGTTTTAAAATGTTTAAACCATACTATTTAATCTCCCCTTTACAAGCACAGTGGATCATTATATTATAAAAAATAAATATCTAGATTTTCTCACCCATTAAGAATTCTATATCTTTATATGCTATTAAATTTTACCAAGAAGCATCAATAACAACAGTAAACTTGCGATGGTATACATCAGCCAAAACTGCAATATAAATCCCAATAAGTTATGAAAATGATGAAATAAGATTTTCTGCTAACTAAATTGTAACAATACTGAAAAAAAACTGTTTTTACTTAATTATGCATATGGTTCATAACTATCAATTAAGCACAACATGAAGTGAAGTGTAGAGTGCCATTGGGCACTGAGTATGCCTTTGTGCTTCTAGATGTCATTCAAGCTTATATCTGTACTCTCTCAAACGGGGCTTCTTTATTTTCAAGGCTCAAAATAAAAAGGAAATAAAAGCAACACAGGTGCTGTCTATGAATGCAACTGCCAAAAGTGAATAAGTAGAGTGCAATGGCACCTGTGGTAAAAATGTGAAAACAGCACTATGTGTGCATCACCAGTTTTTAAAGCCACAAAGTAGCAGAAGGAATGAAGAGGTGACAGGTATAAGTCATCTTTTTTTAGAATCCATGAAGTGGGGAGACTTGATTATATTATTTATTTATTTATTTATTATGTTAATGCAATGAATCACTGAAGCTCCATTTCACAGTTGGTGTACACATTCCGGTCATCCAGTTACAGTGTTTAATCTTAAGGGGGGGTGATATGCTCTGGAGTATGAAGTGCATAGAGTTTTTTTTTTTATGTCTTTGATAAATAAAGACCATGTAGATTCATCTGCATATATAGTTTCTATACCATGAAGTTGGAGCACCACTGCTGTATACTTGTTAGAGATTGTGGCTTTACTTTCGACAGCCCTAATTTAGATGCATCCCCTCTGGCTTTGTTGGATAAAAGAGGAGCATGTCATCTGTCTCCAGCCCTAACTCTATTGCTGCATGTACTGTATTTTGGTTACTCATAGAACAGGTCCCAAGGCTAAATGTGACTGGAATCTGTGAGTTGTATACCCAACACAATGCAACCCTTTGGGAGTGAGACAGCACACCAAGACCGAGAAATATATCTATAGATTCTGATGCGAAAAATCCCAAGGGGTAAAGTGGAATTATATTACTGCTGCAGAGTAAAGCAGAGAGCTACTGATATGGCTAATGCTGGGCCAATAAGGAGAGTGTCTCTTTTTAAACAGACCATGTGTTTGTTACATATACATATATACATATATATATATATATATATACATAT